ATTTGAATATAAAACAAGTAAAAAATAAAATATAATTTTGGAGATAATTGCAAAATCAATTATATCTCCTTTTTCATTATCCTTTTCCTATGAAATTAAATTTAATTTATTATTATAAAATTTTTTGGATTTATATTTCCTTCTATTCTAATGAATATTTAAAATTTCATTCGAAGTCGAAAAATGAAAAGCGACATATCTAAAATATCGATTGAATAACCAAAGAAAGATCTTGACGATATGATTGGTTGGAAGTTGGGACCAGGTACCGATCATTTTCGAGTTAAGATCAAGAGACAATAGCAGCCTGTGTTCCCCGGGAAATCCTTAATTTTTTTTTTCTTTCTTTTTTTTCTTCAACGTCTATCTTCCGTCTGGCATCTGTTGTGTCGCCACCAGGATATCGTGCATTCTTTGTGTTCTTATTATGCCAATCCTCTAATGTTTCTTTGATCGTTCCTTAATCTTTCCTCGAGAATCATTTCCATCATGTACGCGTACAATATGGCTTCTTGCGTCATAAGAGAAGTTAAACGGGAATAATTCATGAAACGAAACGATCATGTGATTCTTGAAAAAAGGGAAACACATTGATTCTTGATTTATATTCTTCATATATTTTCATATAGGAGTACAGGTGGTTAAGTTAAAATTTGATTGATGTCATAAGATAAGAAAGTCTGTGAACTCAAAATATAAAATTTAAAATTTACAACAATTTATGCAATCAAAAAATAATAATAATAATAATAATAATTTTTAATTTTATAAATAAATGTAGAATATAAAATTCTATTTTTTTGGAAAAAATTAGATTTGAAAATTCATTGAATATGCATTTAAACATCGACTGTTTTGTTTCGATTTAGTATCGTAATCGAAATAATATCTGCTATTTCTATTTATGTTTATATTCAATGCGAGTAAAGGCTATTGAATAAAAAATATACAATTTTTTCATTACGAATAGTTGTATCGGCGATATTTATAATGATACAGAATAACATCCGAATGATATAATATATAAACATCATCAATATTTCTAATGATTAAAAAGAATCATCTCGATGTTTTATCATCCTAATATAAAAGAAATGAAGTTTGACAAGTAAACGAAAAATAGTAATATTTTACAAATAAATCTTATAAATTATAAGTATAATTATTCTATTTAATTTAAAATTGTAAAATAATGAAAAATTAATCCATAACTTTTTTCTTATAATGTTAATTCATTGATATTGTGTAAGAATCCAATGAAATCATCAATTCTCTGATATATTATATTGCACATTAAAATGAAAAAAATATAGATTACAGATTACCTAATGGAAGAAGTGGGAAAATAATTGAGAAACACTGGCTTTGATAATAACAGGTGGATCTTGAAAGTGGATCTTGTTTATTGACGTATAAAAAGAACAAATTCTGACCTACGATTAGATTGCTATGTGAAACGTCAATAATCTTGAGTTGATAATTATTGCGAAAAATCTTTTGATTTTGAAATATACATGCACCAATTTTGGAAATATAAAAAAAAAATTGAAATTAATCAAAAACTTATCTTCAAAGAAAATCATATGAACTGAAAAGTTTTTCATGGAACATAATATTCATCTTCTTTCGAAAGATCACGAATCTCATCTATTTTCTTAGTTTTGTTCGCGAAAGGTCGTGAACCTGGGGAATAAGTCCCGTTTGATTTTTCATTTCGCAAAGAATGGATCATTTATCGTAACGTTCATGGTTGGTTGGTGTGCATCTGCTATATTCAGAAGAAATACCATCTTTTTCTTGAGAGAGAAAACGGTTTCTAGCAATTCTTGTTTATTCCTTTATTAGAAGCAAAAATAATAATTAAATGATTTTCATAATTATAACTTTAACAAATTAAAGATCATTATTTTAATACTCAAATTTTCACGGAAGGAGATATATATTTACTCATATATACTTACATATGTTCAAAGACAGTCGGAATATTGCAATTAATGAACGTAATTTAAAGAAACTACATGCATCTGCCAGACTACAATTTGAGCGAAGATGGAACGCGTGATGATTATTGACAGCTCGTTGATCTCTTCAGTTGCACGCAAAAATGTTTTATAATGATGTTTTATAATATTATAGGAATACAAGGAATTCAAGGACGGCTTACAAGCAAAATGAAATTCAAACCATTCAAATCATTTTAAATGTCTGAATGTATCCAAGAGAGATTCGATTTTTGGGCAAGTGTATCGAATTGCGATTATTTGCGATTATTTTTTCGTTATCTATTTTCTGTATCGCAAATCCTCAAAGCAATCATCACAATTGATGGTCTTCATTCACTTACGTAACTCGAAATTTGCGAAATTTTTCCTTCATTAAGATAATCCGATACTTGACGTCATAAACCTAACCTAATAATGACACACCTCACTGTATTTACGAAAACGATGGAGGGGATTTTGATTATTTGTTCCTCGATAGGATCTGCTCTTGAGAAATTCCTTCTTTTTCTTCGATATCTTTGATTCTAGATTATATGATTTTTTTTTGCATATTTTTCAATGGGCATTAATACATAGTGTTCAATTGATTCTTTTATAATTAATTTACCTAATGTTAATTTCACTAATTTTTATTAAGATAAGAATCAAATAAACGATTATCGATTAATCGAATCTCAATTAATTTATTGACGATGGTTATTACAATTCCGAATATGTCACATTTTTTTGATCATAATCACTAGAACTTTGACTCAACGAAATTTCGAAGCACGAACGCGAGAGGGCGCCCACCCACGATGCGAGCGCGTGTTCCTTACTATGCTGAAATTTTACCTTGTGGAAAAGAATTAGTCAAGTCGTGTCTGTTGATTCAGCTTGCAAGCGTCCATTCGCGCCAACGCGTTAATGCAAGTGGCGATAACATGCGCCTACTTCTCAAAGATATGTAGGACTTTGTTTTCCTTGGTTAGCAGGGGAATGTCCGTCGCAGGGGGGACTTAAAAAAGGATTAACACAGGAATAGCCATGCCTCTAAATTCGAAGTGTCATGGCACCCGGCCAAAAGGGATACCTATTCGTTTCGTACCTGTCGGGATCGTGACCTCTTTATTGTTCTTTTTCTTCGGGCGGATCATGGGCAAGAGGACCCTTCTCGATTTTTGTTTCGATCGGCTACAGATGCATTCAGAAGTCGCTACTGGCAATTCGACGTGGCGCCTGGTATGGCTAGAATAATCGAGCTAATGCGCCGTATCGATGTTGAGATATCGACGGTAGGAAATTCAAGAAGATTGACGATTTCTTTCGTCAATTTTCTTATACAATAACGATTTTTGATTTTTTATTTGATAATATATAAAAATGAATTACTAAAATTCTATGACATCAAAGAATATATTATATACTTTTTTATCGATCTGATATAAAAATGGATATATATTTTTGATTTATAAAAAGAATATTTTTTTTATTTTTGTTTTAAAATGAAAATAATATAATTTTTTTCTACTATGTATTAAAAAACATTTAATGATATATGAAAAATATTTTCCATGTCCAATTTCTTACATGTTTAAAACTATTACGTTTTAAATATAGATTACAGCAGTGATTCTCAACCAATATGTTGCGAAAATTTTATTACAATTTTAACAAATATAAAACTATGTAATATTTAAAATATGTGAATAATTGATCAATGCAACAATTAAAAATCATTACATTGTCTTTATAATATTAGCTAGATTGAAATGTTGATTTTTTATTAATATTAATATTAATTATTATTATTATTAATATTAATATTAGATGTCTTATTGTTTAATGATTTTTTTTAAATAGATAAAAATTTTTTTAAAAATTATGATATATCATGAAAATTTATATAATTTTAAAATATATGAATAAGAAGATTAAATTAATAATTATTATAAATTTATGTTATATAGAAGTATTTTTGTTAAATATAAAAATTTCGTGTATGTATACAATAGAAAAATAAAAAACTACGTCGTAACGAATATATTAACTGAATTAATCTTCTGAATTTTTATATGATTGCCCTTTGAACTAATGTAATATAAACAAAATTGACCGTTTGAACTAAACGTATCAAAGAATATTTTTTACGAATATTATAATACTACTCAGTTACGTTTCAAAACGTATACTTAATAGAATTAATTTATTATTTTATAATAATTAATTATAATTAATTTTTTAATAGAAATTAATTTATACGATATCTGACAATAAAATTTGCGAATTTATTATAGTAAAATTGTTATACTTGTAATTATATTTAGGTAAATATGTAGCAATATAATATCTTCTAAAATATTCTTCTCTGGAAAACTATTGATGTGCTCTTCATTTTCCAAAATAATTTTGAAAATATTTTATATTGTCTTTAAAATCATATTATTTTTGATGTCATTAATATAATTAAAATATCTTTCTCTGAATATTTTCTTTATTTTTAAAAACAAAATTATAATAAATATTGTAATACAATTATTTTTACTAGTCCAAAGTTCTTTTGAAAAAAGAATTTTCATTTTAATGATATTAATCAAAAATAACTGTGACTTTAAAAAAAATACAAAATATTTTTAAAATTATTTTTGCAGCTTTAAAATCTACAAAAGTATTTTCAAAATTGTTTTGAAACAAAACAAAGCGCTAATATTAATGTTTAGCTTTTTAAGATTCCAAAGACTACTTTGAAAGTGATCATAATGATATTCAACATTAAGTTTAATAATTTTATAACAATTTTTTATAGAATTGTATATTTTTGCAATTAAAAAAATCAAATAAAGAAATAAAAGAAATTACTTAATTAAAAATCCTTACATTACAAGCTTTTCTATTATATTTTTTAAAATAAATATTACCTTTCACAATATATAACAAGCAATCGATTATTAATCTACCTATAATTATCAAACAAATTTAATACATATTTATCGCAATTAAATTTTTATTAAAATCATTAAAAGAATTATTGTTCCACTTTCCATTTCTATAATTCTTCATTTTTGAAAAGATCGGTAGGTCTCTTCAAGCTCATTCGAATCGTTCACTGACGTATCCATATGCAGAGACGTTTACAAGGAGCGAGAAGATTACTGTCGTCTGTTATCATCGTTGATGTATTAGTGTGAGAGGAAAGGGGGGTATGGGGCGTTATCGACGACGATAGCGCGGCTATATATAAAGCTGTCCGTTCGTCGTTGACATTAGTTCAATATTCGTCGCAGTCTTTTCTTCTTAATACACATCTTCTATCGTGTCTTTCTTTTTTTCTCTCTCTACCCTCGTCTTCTTTTTCGAGAATCATCGATATACGTCTTGACTACCGTGGTACGCGATTCATCATCCCTAAACAACTCCGATCATCGGCGCATCACGCTCCAAGATATTTGTTGAAAGATAAGAATAAGGAAAGCTAAGCTTTAGAGTTACAATTTATACACAGATCAAAACAGAGGGATAATAGAAAGAAACTAAAAAATGAAGGCGACAGTGTTCTAGCGTCGGTAGTAAACCGAACGCTCTCCACGAAACATTTGCTGTGTTTTTCCACGCGCCACGAAGCTCGATCGGAATTGCGGATCGGATTTGAAATATCGTTCTAGAAAGACGACGGCCACCGCGAAGAAAGAATACCCACGTTTGATGAATTTGTTGCGGGCCAGCCTAGTTATGTTCTCAATCGAGTACAGCAAACAATTCCTGAGCTACCGTATACTCAAGTCGAATCGGTTCAAGTACATCTGACGATACGGACTCGGACTAAGTGTGATAAAAGGGTGTGCGCTACGGCGAGAGTGTATATGTGAGCGTACTGTGCCGTGTTCGACTTGTTGGGAACGGATAGTTCGGATTGAGGGCTCGAACACAGAGAAAGGGACCGGCAAGACCTGGAAAGTCTTGTTCGCGATTTTCACCGATGCGTCGATCGTTTCCTACCCTCGATACGGTCTGAGGAAACGAGGAGACGTCCGCCGTTTTCGAAACGCTTTCGAAAACGCGATAAAATCGCGAAAGAAGAAAACGAATTTCAATCTATAAAGAGGTGATACGAATCAATCGCAATCAGATAGATATATAGCAGCCGATGAAACGCAAGATTAAATTGATTTGAAATAAACGAAAATATTGTCAACCTATTGTCAACCTTCCAAATCCATTCGTTAAATCATATTTTTCAAAGTGAGCACAATCGATACCATACATTCACAAAATTCTCTTTGATTGAAAGTCTAAAAATTTTAAAAAGGGGAAGTTTGCACGTTTCTGGTCGAATTCGATTAACGAAAATACAAAAAAAAAAAAGAGAATAAAAATGATCGTTTACGTCCCGGGTAGAATGCCAAGCCACGTTGGTGGGTACGGCTCCGTTCGTTATCCTGGCACGTTGCTAGGAACGATACCGGGTTTTTACAGCCCGATTTCCGGTTACCCGACTAGCCCAAACATCAACTACTACGGGAGCCTCAGCCTGCATCAGCAAGCACCGCTAGACCTTCCGGTTTGGCCGCGAAGCATGCCGGTCGAGGAAGAACTCGGAACTTCCCCATCGACCGCGTTGCCGGGTTTGGGAGTGTCGCCTGATGGTTTGACGAACGGTGGTCCACCGAGCCCAGTGCACAGCGATTCAGACGCCTCCAACTCCAGTTTGGAACTCGGCTCTATTCGACGTGGAGAGAATGCCCAACTAAAGTGCAGGTAAACTATATCACTGTTTTCTTTAAGCTTTAGAGATCTAAAATCTGAAAATCGAAGAAAGATCCAAATGAGATCATAAGATTTCTAATGAATTTTTATAGAATAAAACAATATAGGTGTAGTTGAAATATTTAAAATTGTAATATACTAAAACATAAATTGAATAATTTCATTTCAAATATCGCAGAACTTAAATGCATAACATTTGTTTATAAAATATAAATTGATATAAGTAATTCATATCTCACATACCAAAGAATAATTCAGAGCAGTTTTGTAATATTTTGTCAAGGACATAAAAAATTATTTAAATAAAATGTAAAAAAAGATATTCGATTTCTAACAAAAAAAAATTTTTTGTAAAATTTTATAAAAAATTATAAGATTATCCGAAAAAAATCTCGAAAACTTGGAGATGCAATTCAAATGTAGAATCGTAAAGATATTTTGCTAACACCTTCGAGCATATTTATCCGCATTGAAAAACAGAGTTTGCAAATATGTAATGACGAGACGTTATCTAAATTGAGTGCAGATTTACTTCTCTCTCCTCTCCTTTCCCCTACAAAATCTGAAACGAATGTTTATCTTTGGTTCTGCATCTTGTTATCAGTAAACAAGAAACTCAATATCAAAATACTTACTTATTTCTATATCTATCTTCTATCTCTTTCTATGATTGACTCGTTCAATTGATTGATTTTCTTTTTTTCATTTTTTCTTTATTTTTGTGTTTTTCATTTATTATTGAATTATTTGACTCAAGGATGGGTTTTCACACGAATCTCGAGTTTACGCGCACTTCTGTTAAGTGACACTAATTTATCTATGGCATGCGTATGACTACGCACAGCACGCGTCATTCTGACTTTAACCAATTTCCTATATCCAGTGGATATAGGATATAGGAATGGATATAGGAATATCAAAAATATTCATTTCTTTTTATACTACTTTTTCTTTTTCTTGCTTCTTCTTGTTTTAGAAAAATTTCCAATTAAGATATACCACGGTTGTTTTTAAGGAAATGCTCAAGAAATTTGAAATGTCTTCGTAATTTTTCTTGTTATTTATAATTCAGTTCAATTTTCCTCAAGAGAAATTTGCAGGAAGAAAAAAAGAAAAAAATAAAGATTAGAAATAGAAATATAATAATAAATATAATATTTATTCATTATAAGCACAGAATTCAAGCCATGATATATAATTGTTAAGAACATAAAATTTAAATTTTGTTTTATTCTTACCTTTAATGATAGTGAAGATTAAAAAAAAAAAAAAAGAGAATTGAGAGTTTAAATATTTGAAGAATTTATGTTGTATTATGTTATATTATTATATAATGTATATGATATATAATACTATAAAAACATTAGATCATTTTTAAAGATCTAGAATCGAGACTTTGACAAATCTAAGTGTTTACTGTTTCAAAAAAAATGTCAGATTTCGATAACCCCGAAATAAAGATTTCTGATTATTTAGCAATATTGTATTTGCGTTCACGATCTATTTCGACGAGATTTTGGTTTGAGATATAATTTATCATGGTCCAATAATTCGTTACATTCATTTTGCATGTGGTAACTTCGTGTATTCGGGAATGTCTGTTTCATTATCGTAATCATAAACGTGTTTTTGTCATCACTGAAATGATATTCGTCATATGACAAATCCTCCATTTTCTCTGAAATTCGATGAGCGACGAATTCTTTTTCTCTATAGTTATTGAGATTATCATTAAATGTGAATGTAACAACAATGAATTATGCAAATAAAGAAAGAATGATTGTATATAATTCTGGGGAATTAGATGGTGAGCATCATTACCTTGATCCACAACCTTTTACACAACATGGCCGTTCACAGAATACGATGTTTAGCGTGATAAATAGCGCATGCGTCTAAATAAAGTGATGTCAAGCGACGCCAATTGCACAACGGACGGAATTGGTATCAATTGGTTGGTTGGCGGACATTCTTGACGTAAATCATGCATCGATATTTCAACTGAATGCCATTCCACTTCGATTACATTTCTATACATCGACTCTGGTACACGTGATGGCATGCTACTTGTTTCTTCTAACCTTGAAAAAGGGAAGAATACGTATAAGTTTCGAATCGAATGAAATTTCTTAAAGATTTATACGTTTCTCTTCGAAGAATAAGAGATGCACTAGGGTTTCAATCAATCAAATGATCAAAATGCACAGAGTGATTCTTCTTGCGCGTGTTGGATATATTTAGAATTTCTCGGTATATGAGTGACTGGAAAAATAAGTAATATAAATAGATTGATTGACGGGAAGAACTCGAGATTCGAGATATTGGCCTTAAACAATAATTATCTTATAAACGGGTCGATTGCTAGAAACAACTGAGCGATCAAAGATCAATATCCTTAAACGTTTCACAACTACGTATCTCATGTATACAACGTATACTTACGCTTCCAATACTTGGAAATGATCAAGTGAGACAAATTGAAATCACACTAGTAAAATTAAAGACTAACACATTCCGTTCCAATTTACAGATGGCAGAATTGTGGTCGTTGGTTCACGTCCTTGGAACAACTGGCAGGACATGTTGCACGATTGCATGCTGCGCCGGGACCACGTGGACTCTTCTATTGTGGCTGGGAAGGATGTGCCAGAGGTGAACGTGGGTTTAATGCTAGGTAAAGAGTTTTTCATTTTCTTTTTGCATGATTTTAAATCGATTGAATTTCAATTCTTACTTCGTCGCTTTTTTCCTTCTCTAGGTATAAGATGTTGGTCCATGTCCGAACGCACACGAATGAAAAGCCGCATCATTGTTTTCAATGCGATAAAAGTTTCAGCAGAGCGGAGAATCTCAAAATTCACGCTCGTTCCCATACAGGTGAACGCCCTTATGTCTGTCCTGTCGAAGGCTGTAATAAGGCCTACTCGAATTCCTCGGACAGATTCAAGCACACCAGAACTCACGCCGTAGACAAGCCTTACTGTTGCAAAGTTCCCGGTTGTCCGAAGAGGTACACTGATCCCTCATCTTTGCGTAAACATGTAAAAACATATAGACATTACGTAAACAATAACGATAAAGTGCAAGAGAAGAGCTTCGAGGAGAATAATTCTCAGGAAAAGACAAGATTCGACACTGTTTCACCAGAAAAGCAAAGTAGTAGTACTCACTCTGAATCGTCTGATAAAAAAGATAGTAGCATCGAAAGCAGCATGTCAAGTTCGAGTCCAAAAGCTAGCAATAGTTTTGAAGAACAAAGGAATTTTGTTGAGTGGAACAACATGTATAATCTTCACGACCAACGTAAAGAACCGGAACAGATAACACCTAGAAAAACGTACGAACAGGAAGTGAAAATCTATCCGAGGATCTATGACGACAGTTATATAATACCGGAAAGAATTCAAGTGAATCCTATGTATGTTTCTAATAACACGATCATTAAAGGAAGTCCACCACAATCGATTCAATCGCCTCAGACCAGCCCGCATCACGTTCCTGATACGTTGCCTCGTATCGGAACACAATCGACACCTATTAAGATCGAAGAATCCGTTGAATGTCCCAACAAAATTAGCTCTGTTGACTACAGAAATATCGAGTCGATCATTAACAGCACACCATGTAAAAAGGAAAATATTGGGATTAGTGATCCTGTGAGACATTCTGTGATAAAACGAGCAGAAGATCTTAAGATGGAAGTCGAGCAAATACCGATCAAGGAAGAAATTTGTAAAGATACCACCGATTGTTGTTGTCGTCACAAATGTTGCGTACATAATAATGATAACATTTTGGAAAAAACGAAGATCCTTTCAGATTTGATTCTTAAAACACAGAATCCTTTATTTAGACACCTGTTGGGCACGGTAGATTTGCAGTACGGATTGCAGAATATGTGGGGTAACATCGTGGATACGAACAATACCTGCGGACAAGATCTTCGAGTTAAAAATGAGAATGTTGTCGAAATGGAGCAGGATCTTCCATTAGATTTAACGATTAATAAATAAAGAGAATTTTAAATCATATGGAAGTTAGCTTTTTTAAAAAAAAGCTATCTATAAGAAAGACTCAAAATCCTACAGATCTACGTTTCTTTTACAAATCGACATACATTTTAAGTTTTGAAAAAAATTTGCTTTAAACTACCGATTATAACTAATATTCGGCTTTCGAGGCCGTCCTAATGTTTGAATATTTTCTTAATGCTTTCTAATATTAAAAAATGTTATTTTCCATAACATTTTTCAATATTTACATAGATTCAGGACGACCTAGAATGTTAAATTTGAATTTCTATTTTAAGTTATAATCGGTAGTTTCGTTTTCCCAATTTTATGTCGTTTTTGAAAATTATGCAAGAATGCATGAAACGTTATTTTCTTTTTTTTTTTTTTGGAATTAATATATATTTTTTTTTTTTTTATAAATATATATGTATACGTAAAGTATATTCAATTCGCTGATCACTAAAGAAATTTTTTTAATAAAAATCAAGGAAGATGAGGATTGATACGTACCGGTGAAAAGATGAAAAAAAGTTGTCCGTTTTTGTTAGACTGTGAAGCCAAATATATATTGTAATACATTAATGTTTATCTTAAAGCAGAAACAAGTTTGATATCGAATAAGATTTACTCAATCTTAATTCGTTAATAATAAAAAATCTGAGATATAAGTTTACGGGTAATTCGATCAATTCAAAATAAAACAATTGTCGAAACCTGTATATACATACGTTAAACCCAAATTTAACAAACAAAATAAAAGAAAAAAGATGTAAAATATTACCATATTTTATGGAAATTTCAAAAAATATTATGGTTGAAAACGTAGCTGTATCATAATGAGTTTGAAAGAAATTACCCAATATATTATATTCAACATCTATGTATCATATGTATATAAAGATGTATTATGTATAAGGTATTCATGAAGAAAAGTATGAACGTTTCTGCAATGAAAAGAGTGTGTTTAATGACATTAAACTATTCAATAAAAAATATTATTTATATAAAAAATGTTTATTTTTTTTTCTCAGCATATAACAAATTTCACTTTTCTTTCGATATAAGAAATATTACAAACGCATTTTAATAACATTGATGGAAGAATATAATACAACCTCGCGACAACTTGTTATAAGAACTTTTCTTCGAACTGATTTTATTAACGATCATTATTAAACGCTATTATTTAATACGTAAAAAATTATAATAATTTTATTTTCAAGCAAAATAAAGTTTTTGAATAGATACCTAATTCTTAATAAAAAAAAGTTAAGAGTTGCATTTATGAAGTAGATTCAATATAAATATGTCAATTTACAAAGATAAAAAAACCTCTATTTGCAGTTGCAGCTTCCATTTAAGTTCTTGCAAATTTGTTGTCGGAATAATATTAATTGTCACTCCAATTATGTTCATAAAAATACATAAACAATTTGTAATATTAAATATAACTCTCACGATATATTATGACTCATTAGAATTTCAGACATTCCGTCTTTAATAATTTTCAAACTTTCCAAATCAGAATTTATTGTTGCTATAAGTTGTGCCATACCATGTTGTTCCATTGTTAAATACTAATAAAAAAGGAAACATAGATTATATATACTTTTATTTTCATTACTTTTTATCATTTTTATTATATATTTACATACCGTTTTTATATCGTCTTGAGCTATAGGATCCATTGCATACCTTTCTTGGTTGTGAGTGTCTATATGATTTCTCATTCTTAATTGAGAAAGCATTTCACTAATTCTACCTTTGAATTGAGTTGGAGCGCTAACTTGAGAATGCATGGCTTCGAACCTACGCGTTAGAACTTCTTCTTCAGGTTGTAAAGATAATCCAACTTTACGTGTAATTTCTTGACGTACAAGTACCTTAAAAAATTTTTGAATATATAAAAATATATAAATAAAACATAAATATATAAAAAATATATATAATAAAAAATAATCATCAGAGAAAATATATTTATATACTTGTAATACTCTATGTTGAAGTTCTAATAATGTTCTTCGATGTTCTTTTAGTCTAGCTTGTATTGCCATATGTTGTCTTTGTAATCTTTGTATTTCTTCAGCTGCCATATCTAGAAAATTTCTATGTCTTGTTGTTTCTTCTTCTTGACATTTTAGTCTGTGCTTGACTTGTTGAAAACCAATCATTGGCACAGGTATATAAAGCTCTGGATTAGGATTATCCAATTGAGCTTGTTTCCATAATCGTAAATCAATAGAACAAGGTGGATTATCTAAATATTCTTTAAGTTGTGCTGGATCTAACTTGACTAAAGGTAATATATCTTCTACACCATTTTGCATTAATTGTTGCTTTTGCATTGGTTGTGATAAATATGTAACTAATTCATTAGCAGGAATCTTCCTTGGAGCTCCTGTAATTCCCTTCTCAGTGACAAAAATGGTCACTTGACTTTTATCTTCTCCAGTTGATTTAATATTGTCTATTGTAAGCGTTAAATTGGGTTTATTTCCCAAAATATTATTCATAAAACTGATCAATTGTACTTCTCCCTCTTTGACATCTTTTTTTTTCTTGTTAAAACAAAGTACAACAAGACCATCATTATTGTCAGCTTCAGGCATTCGACTATATCCAATGGCTTTAAATCTACATAGTGGATTTTCTTGATTAAGTTCAATAGGTGGTGCATTCATGTAATAATAAGCTTTTCCAGTGCCCCACAAAGCTTGTATAAGATTCCATCTTGCAATAATATTGTCACGTTCATCATTATACAATTGACAATTAAATACAGCATTGTATAATGCTTCGGATAAAGTATTAGCAGTTTGTTGTTGTTGTTGTTGCTGTTGAAACTGGGGTTGTGTTTGCGATAAACCAGATCCAAAACCAGTAAATCCTGTGCCTGCAAAAATAGTTTGCTATATATAAAAATATAAGATAATCAAAAATATGATTTGATTAATATTCACCTGTTCCAAAACCACCAAAACCAGTAGATGTTGTAGTTGCTGGCTTTGTACCAAAAGCACCAAAAGCTGTAGATGTACCAAAAGTTGGAGCTGTATTTGTAGTACCAAATCCTTTAAAAAAGGAAGGTGCTGATGTGGTTGTTGTAGTTCCAAATGCACTGAAACCACCAAAGCTTAAAGAAGATGTTGTATTGGCACTAAATGTACCAAAGCCAGAACTGGAGGCTGGTGTGGTACCAAAAGTGGAAGTAGTTCCAAATGCAGTGCCTGATGAAGCAGGTGTACTACCAAATACTGGAGTAGTTCCAAAAGCAGTGGTAGAAGTGGCACCAAATGTAGGTGCAGAAGCAAAACCACTTGTTGATGTATTACCAAAACCAGTGGCTGCTGGCGATCCAAAAGTAGCACCACTTCCAAATCCTCCTGCTACTGGAGTCGAAGAAGAACCAAACAGACTGGGTGCTGAGGTTGATGGTGTATTAAATGCAAAAGATGAAGTTCCAAATCCTGCTAAGATATTAAGTTTCAAATGAGGAATATAAATTTAATAAACAAAACATGACAACTTTATATTGATAATAACAATTATTAAAAGATATTTATTTCATATACGAAAAAACTATTAATATTTATATATATATATATAATATATTATATTTATTTATATATATGTATATATAAATTTATTTATATATACATTTAAAAAAAAATATATATGTATATATTTAAACAATGCGTTTGCGATAAATAAGCGCATTACGAAATAATAAATGTATAGTGTGAAGTTTTATAATTTTCAAAAATTGATTTTTGTTTTCATTGATTTGAAATTGCTTCAAATAGAAAAACTAATATGTATTTGATAGAAATGCCTTGCATACGATCGCGATAATAATTTGCATTTTATTTATTTATAGAATTTAATAACGCGTATTGCAAATAATTCAAATACATAAAAAATATCCTATAATTTCCATATTTTTCCATATTATTAAAAAGTTTTTGATATTATAAATAATATAATAAAAAAACGAAATCTTAAACCATGTCATACTTAAATGGAAATCAGGTAAGGTTATTAACAGAATAAAATATGCAAAATATGCAAAAATTTCATTTCTTTAAACAAGCAGGAAGGAAAATATGGACAACTTGCTCATAAATTAATAAAACTAGCTTCGATGTCTAATAAGAAGGTTGTACTTCGTCACGATGATCAATCTTCAGATGTGTCTACTGAATTGTTACATGAATTTGGTACAACAGATGTAGCAATTGGGGTATTTTTAATTTTTTTAATTTTATAATTTATATTTAAAAATTACATATAATATATATTTTATTGTTATTTTATTTCATCGTATATATCGATATATCATCGTATATATCTTTATTATTTATTATATATATGTATATATTATAATATAAATTATAATATGTTTTATTATTATAAAAGGATGTTACAGCAGAAGTTATGTTAACAACAATGGGTAAAATTCCAAGTGAAATGTATGATTTAGAGGATACAAGTCCTCCCATTATAACTAAATTAGTGCATTTTGAAAAAACATCTCCATTTGCACGTGCAATAGCAGTAACAGAACCACATCATCCAGTTACTAAAGAACCTACAGGTCATTCATCGATTTTAATTGCTTTGTTAACTGCACTATTGATAATATTCTTATTATGTTGTATCACAGCATGTATTATAACTAAATCAAAAAAAAAGAGTACTTTCTTTGGAAAAGAAGATATGGAATGTGAACCAGGATGTACTGGAATGAATCAGCCTTTACTAGATAAGATTTCAAGCAGTACAAACAAAACAAGCTGTGGTTCTATGCGAAACTAAAAATCTGCAATAATTTTTTTTCGAATAAAATACAGCCTTAAAGAATCGTAACATATAAAATAGTAATGTAAAACAAGATATTTATATGTGTAGGCATTGTGATGAGGCAGCACATTGAAAAATGGAGTGTTTTTTAAATTGATATTTTACATATATCTACAATAATAAGTTTTACAAAAAATATAAAACATTTAATACATTTTGACCCAATAAGAATTACAGAATGGCAAATTTGTTGAAAATATATTCGAAAAAGTAACTTATATATAACAAGAGAAGAAACGAAATGTGACTTAACCTAAAAGTAGATAACTTACCTGGTTTCACTGGTGTCGCCGTAGTAGAAGCTGTAACACCAAAGCTAAATGCAGGAGCAGGTGTCGAAGTTGTTCCTCCGAATCCAGTACTAAATGACATTTCTCAAATTAAAACTAAAATTAATGTATTACAAAAACACGATTTACCGCGCGCGCCTTCTGATTTTGTATAAGCGAAAGTATAACGAATATGGCGGCTGACATGCGCCACAAATTTCCGTTTCTATGCTGACTGCTTATCACGTGACAATTCTAACTATTTAAATTCATTTAAATCTTTCTAAATCATAATAGCATCAATTTTATTCTTAAATTGTAACTAAGTTTATTTGATTTTTTAATACAATTGTATTTCATTTGTACTACATATTTTTCATAATCGCCATATGGATCTATGATGTATTAAATATACGTATTTTTTTTGAGAATTATACGTGTCATCATTTAATATTTCGAAACGATGAAATTCATTTGATTTCATGTAAACTTGTGTAAAATCACAACGATATATTCACGCGAGATAAACGTTTTCAATTATAAATTCGAACGCACAGCGTTGCGATTATGAAATTGTAACACAGCAAAGATCCGTGAACGATTGATCGATTCGAGAGCGAACGCTTTTTTCGAAGCGCAAGGTTATCAATAACATATACAATATAAGAATTTTTAACGAATATTTTATAATTTAAAAACTTAAAAATAAATATATCTCCATATTCTAACATACATATATATGATACTTTCTTTAACAGTTCAATAAGACTAGTATATTTATATCATATAATATTTTAGTCAAGCGCGATTCGCGCGACAGTCGGTCGAAGAAGTACAGTAAAAAATGCGTAGATGAGCGCGACAATAATTACACTAGAAACGATTCAACAGAAACGTTCGTAAAATTTTTCTATAAATATCATGTATACGTAGAGTGACGAAATTGAAATGCACATACGAAAAAGTTGTGCTTTGTGGCTTACTCAATCTACGATATACATACATAAGTCATCTTGTGTATAGACAAAATTTGAATTGCAGTCAAATCACATTACCATCTCATCAATAATGTAAAACATCTTCTGAACTCAACGATTTAAAACTATTTTAATATTCACGTATTCATTATTTCTTAAGTTTGAACTTTGGCATTCCATTTAAATAAAATAATTCTTAAATATCTTCTTTGTTACAATATCTTGAGTTTCGATTAAATCGTAATATAAATTAAATTGCACATCGTTTATAATTGTTCCTTTTTTAAATTTCTTTTTAAGTAATCCGTGTAATATTTGTTTAAATCACTTTTAAAAATGGAGAGAAACATGATTGCATTCCTCTCGAAAAATCACACGATTGAAATAATCTCTTTTATTAGACTTACGCTATGTGTGATAAAATAATTCATCGGCAACGATAGAATAGAATTTTTTGTTGTTACAAACACGATCCTCGGTTTCTTTGCGGTTACAAAATAAGAATATGCACTTTCATGAAGGAATTACGCATGTGTGCATTTAATACTAGAAGAGAAAAAGAAATAAATAGCTTTTTTTTGCCTTGTGAGAGCTTTTAGCTCGTTTATATGCTCGTATTGCTTTTGTCATCCTAATCGATGAGGCTCTTGCATTCAGCCAACCTGGTCCGTTTCTAAAAAGAAGAATTCAAAAACGATAATCCTTCAGATAACTGTGCGGTATAAGCGTACAGATTTTTTTTTTCTTGCCCATTCATAAATAATTGATATTCGAGTGGAGCATTATATTTATATATTTTACATTATTAAAAGTGCAATCTGAAAGATTAAACGTTGGTTGGCCATAAATAATTGTCGATCCACCTCATCAAGACTCCCAAATTATTTATGAATGGCGCAACATTTTGAAGCGTTTAAATCTCGTTAGCACGTTGTTTTTTGCGTGTAGTATCTTGTTATCCGCGTACAAACATCATTTTTTTATCGAAACACCAATTTCGCGAGCCGTGCAACGTTTCATTATACGTTATTATTCGTTAATTTGGGAGCAGACTTCATGAGGTTCACATATCGATATTGACGCTGTCTCGAAAACGACCAGGTTATTGTCTAACGAGATTTAACTGCAATTTGTTGCAAATCATGCGTGAATCATATAAAAAAAGAATTTAAGCCTAGAGCAAACGAAATATTCGTGATGCTAATTGCGATTCAAATTATACAATAAATCAAACATCTTTTTTTCACCTAGTATGCAACATGTTATAAATATGACATTCGCGAATTAATGAGAACGTTTCTTTCCTCTGTGTTTCCTTTCTCTATTTTTTTCTTTTTTTGGACCCGTATAAACCGTGCGCGAATAAATTCGAATTATAGTGCCATTTGCCACGTTGACATGTCTCGCCAACAAAATTCCACAATTCCACAATTTGCATAAAATATTCGAAAGTTAACAATTAGCAAATATATTTTACGAAGTGTTTGGTCCGTCTTACGTAATCGATTTATGCGATATTCCCGTATCGAATATCGATCAGCATCGAATATCGATCAACATCGAATATCGATTAATATCGAATATCGATCAATATCGATATTCGAGAGAACTTAGATGCAAATTTATGTGATTGAATCAAGATATTGATATTCGTTCGATAAAACTTTTTTGTACAAATATCTGTATAATAATAAAATCCCAATAGTCGGAAATATCTGCAATTGTGCAATAATGACTGTCTCGAAATAACGAAAAGATCGTTGTGAACGAGAACGAGGCGCGCGACAATTGTAGGCCAACAATTTGTATGTGATCAGCGATATTCAATTAGTATCTCGCGCGTATGGATTTACTTTTACATTGAGAATGTTTTATTAATCTCACTACGCATACGCATATCTAATAGTTTGACTTGTTATATACATTACATTCAATATTTATACGTTTAGACACCGAGTACATAAAAAGAGTGCATCGCCCCAAGAAAAGGCGAACAATATATTATACATTGAACAATGAATTAAGAAACAAAGCTCGAGCAAACGAGTCGCTTGTTTCCCACTTCGGTGCGTCATTTTCCTTTCGAAGTTTCGTTCAAAATTGAAACGAATTGAATTTATATGATGTGCGATATAAATAGCAATACGTGTAAAAAGTTTTGATGAATTTCGTTATAAACGAATAGATTGTCGTTTTACGAAAAATGATTTATTTAATCAATTATATAATCGTTATTGTTTTCGATTACTTTTCATCCATTCTAATGTATTTGTATTAGCAATTGAATTCCTTTAATAAATATAAAATATTATAATAAAATATAGTTTATTTTTTATCAAAATATGCAGACATAACGTGATTTTTCAAAGCATTCAAAAATTAAAATCTTTTTCCATTTTTAATTTTGTATAAGAATATTCAATAATTGGAAAAATTAAAAGAAGCAATTCAGGAAAAATTCAAGAAAATTGTGGCAAATCACAAAAATAAGTCATGATAATAGTAAACTACACATATTGCAATATAAAATAAATTTTAAATGCATTCTAGTAAATATTTACTTTTTATATTATTTATTTCGTTTCTTACAAAATGAAACGGAATTCTAATCTATAAAAACTTTGAAAAATCACGTATCTATATATTATGAACAAAAATCGAGTATTTGCAACAAAGGAATTCAATGATTATCACAACGATAGGCAAAATTCATCGAAAACAATGACATTAATTAACATTAAATAAATTAGTTTTTCTAAAATAATCCATTCATGTATAATGAAATTAAAACTTTTACATGCATCCAATAATAATTTATGACAGAGAGAAAGAGAGGAGAGAGAAAATACGACCCATGATTCGATTAGATTAATAAAAAGATCAAAAAACGTCGTAAGAAAGAAGCAATATGCTTTTTTATCCATTTAGGTCCCGCTTTCTTAAATTCGTTACGATTTCTACTTATAGAAAGACAGAACAGAACATAACGATCGAATCTATAAGTACGATCCTGAAAACTCAAAATCAGAAGCAGAAGCTCGAGATGATTGTGTATAAACAGAAATACCCCCACCGATTGCACTATCCGAAGTTCCTTCGCCTGTTACAAAATCGGCGACTATCAGCGAATCCTTTGGAAGATTTCCGCTCCCATCTTTCAACGCATCTCGCTCGGCCAAAGTCTGTTTCAGAAATTTGATCTTCTCTTCTTTCTAGAAAAATGAACCTTGTGATAAAAGATTGTCGATAATTGTAAATAGAGATGAAATCAAGCTCAATACGTAATGATAATGACGAAATACCATTCTTTATAATATTAATACCATTCTTTTTAAAAATACCATTCTTTTTAAAATTCTAAATTTTATTTAGAATTTTCTCCATATTCTATATATATTTATAGAAAATACAAAGCCAATACAAATTCGAATGTATTTAAAAATAATTTCTTTTTCTCAAAATGCTTATTTTATTAAATATTTGAATCTGATCTGTCAATATTTAAGTTTGCTTGCAATATACTTGATTCTATCACTAGTTGTCAAAAAAACATTAAACAATTTCCTTACCACGGCAATAAGTTTTTGAAGCTCGGCATTCTCGCTAAGAAGTTTGTGATATTTTTCCTCGTCCTCTTTCGACATACCCACATCGGTATTGTACTTAGATTCAGCCTTATCTTTCGGATGTCTGATCACTTCGATCACTTTAGGCACAAAGATCAGCGCCATGCTTAAAAAACAACAAAATATAATGGCGAGTGCAACGAAAGCGAAACTGGCGTCTTGCTGGCTAGCGATCACCATTGTTACGGGAGCTGTGATCAAACAGAGAACAACCACGTTGTATATCGACATCCCAACGTATCTGGAATCATTGATCTGTTTCACTTTGATACTTCTCGTCTCGTACGCCAAAAACAATCCGAACACCAGGATGATTCCTTTGTAACTATAAATCAAACCTGGAAAAAATACACTTAATGAAATTTATTTTTTGAAACAAAATTGCCAATTTACCAATCTATAATATACATTTTCCATAATAATTTTTTTCTTATAATTAATAAAATTAAGTACTAATTTAAAAATAATGATACGTTTATCTGAGTAAATAATAATAATAATTTTTTCAAAAGCATTTACACATTTTTAAATAAAATAAAAAATATAAAACCAATCAATTTCATTAATTAATCCTGTTAAAGAAATATAAATAAATTTATTATTCAATGTAAAACTTTACCAAGCCAAATGTTATTGTGTGTGCTCTCGCAATGTTCTAATTCCGGTCTAATCCTTGCATCGTCATCACCAAACGGAGGTTGTTCCAATGGAAATGTCTCCATCTTTCTTTGCAAAGGATCAAGCACTTGCCAACAGACTAACAGTACGATATCCACTGCCAACAATCCGCTTACCATCGTATACAGCTTCCATGGTTGAATTTTCTTCTGTATGGACGAAACTTTTTGTTTAGCCATGAACAACTAAAAAGAATCGAGAATATGTTAAAGTTGAGGGTCATACGAGCAGGATCTGCAAACCATGCAGGGACGGGCACACTGCGTGACAAACTAGAAATATTAATCAAATTGTTAATTCACTAATCGATCGGGTTTCATTTTGGACAATTTTCTAAAACATTTTCAACCGCGATTAATTTGTCCTTTTTTTTCGATCACTTACTTTTGCTTGATCAGCTTTTGTCTTTGTCGTAAGTCTGTGGACGCGCCATACTTTGCTAAACATCGCCCCGAATGCTAAAGTAAAACCTGTGGACAACATCCAAGATCTAGCTTGGCAAACCGCTGGATATTCCCAAGCTGCGACAAATCTACCGTCAATTCCTAATAGAAACACCGACACGAAACATGCTATAACTCCAATCAGCATTATAGTATTGCACACAGGATGTGACGACATTATAACCCTGTAAAGAAAAACATCAATATTTTAAAACATTTAAGAAAGATATTGGATTAAAAAAAAAGTTGTGTTGATTTTAAAAAATATTGTACTCTTGTTCAAATTTAGAAATCATTGGAATATAAATAGAGAAATTTTATGAATTCATATACATTGTACATATATAAAAGATATTTTCTATATTTTATATAAATATGTAATATATTATAATTTTATATTATATATATGTATATATATAATATACCTTCTATGTCTATTCCATATATTAAAAATGATCAATGCCACAGCTATTATGATTCCCAGTGAAGATATAGTCCCCATACAAATAAATAAAGGCAATGAGACCGTCCTAAGAACAGTCTTCACAATGGTTCTATCTTGTGGTACTTTACCACCGATCCATCTTTCCATGTTCCTCCATGTCAAATTGTCGCTTTGCGTGTCATAATATCCCAATTTAACGTACTTTCCATCGATCATTTGCTCGATTTGGGTCAATGCAATTCTGTCACCTTGCGAGCTAAAGGCAACGTATCCCTATAGTACATACGAGGATCGATTAAAGATCGCCGCCACTTGAAATAAAGGACTTCGCATATTATTTCTACTTTTAGCCGAGTCACGTACAGATACTCCTAAAAATTGAGTGGAGTTGATCGCCGAATAAATTTCATTTGCTATCTCCTTGTCAGTATAACTGAAGTTTTTTAGGCTCTTTCCTTGCTTACTCAGCTTCTCCATTGTTTTATTGAAAGCTGCGGTTCAAACAGAAAACGTATGAGAGAAAAATTCTTCCATGATTAATAACAAACGATGGAATCAAGTATATTGCAGAATATAAATTCTTTAAAGAATCTTTTTTAAATATTTTGAAAAAAAAGATATATTTTCAAATACTTTTATATGAAAAAAATAAAATTATAAAAATTCTTATTATTACTTTGTATGTATTCATTTTCAAGTTCAAAATTACAAGAATCGAATATTTTGCAATTATCAAAATAAACCATTATATCTTACTACTATTAATTTGAATCTTATAAAATCTTTTCGAATTTAAATTTATAAATAAATATTAAACTTGATGCCATCATTACTGATATTCAGGGTCGCATTTATATTGTTGAACATCTTAGACACAATGTCATTAACATTAAGATTTTAGTAAAATAAATCTATTTCAATTAATTTATATACATTTCATTTTATTATAAATGAAAATTAACATTTCCATAATAAACTAAATTGCATGCTAATTGTTCCTCTTCCTCCTAATGATAATTAATATTTAGTCAATTTGTTGTCAATTTTTTTTATGAATAAGAAAACTTTATAAATTTCTATTTTCAATGATCTTTTATATTTAATATTTAAAAATAAATATTTTGTTCTACAACTATAATTAAATTATTTTTTATATTATTATTTATAAGAAATACAATAAAATGTATTTGTATTAGCTCAATACGCTTTGAAATAAATGTGACCCTGCTGATAGTAATTTGATTTCATACCTAGCGCTACTGACCAAACTGCATCATAAGCGAGAGGTGCCTCTTGATATCCTTCAGGATAACGATTATTATCGATATCAAATCCATTTTCCTTCAACATTTTGTTCAATCTCTGCCTAAAATCCTCGGAAGTCATCCCACTGATTGTCGTGTCATTATTCTGATTCCACATCAGAGCTTCGGTCGTCAAGTGCCCTTCAGCTGCCAGTCTCATTTGATCTTTTGTGCATGTAATTCCTTCTTCCTTTAAATTTACCTCGTACCAATTGTCCTCGTACCAACCAATGAAGAACCACACATAACTTTTTCCATAAAGTTTTTGATGATACAATTCGCAAAGAACTCTTCTCGCGGCTACTACGTAAAATAAACCAACAATGATCCTAGCATCTTGTCTACGTAAATTCCTTACAGCATCAGATGGATCAGACAAGAAGCTTTGGCGTGTAACTATTTCTATTCCTGCTTCTTTGCAACGTGTTTCTAAATCTTCTACAGTCTATCAACAGAGAAAGACAAAAATAAAATAGAAAATAATTTTGAATTGTGTTTAAAAATTTAAATATTAATTCTGAAAATTAATATATAATAGGTAAACTGAGGATTTTTATACAGCTTCTGTATAAATATAAGCTAATATATATAATTTATATTATAATGTAATATATAATAATACATAATATATATATATATATATATATATATATATATATATATATTTATATTACTACAGTTGATTCATTTATAACTTTTTATTATAAAAGATCTATTTATCACACATCTGATATTTCAATATAACAATATAATAATATCTCGTTTTAAATGCAATTATATGTGAAATATAATATATATAATATTAAAAATATGCATTTGAATAAAAATCCAGTTTACTAATTTGCATAAGAGTGATCTTACAGATATGAACACTTCTTCGGCTTGCTGCAAGATTGCCACTCGAGACCAATCAAATTTTTGCAACAATTTGATTCTCGTAGGATTATGCACCGTAGCTGATGGGTGTGTCCTAAAAAGCGTCGGGAACCGATTTCGATCGGACAATGCAGGCGATGATGCACCATAACATAACTAAAAATCGTAATTAATATAATAATTTATTTTTATATCTCTTTTTTTTTTAAATAAAAAATCTTTTTTGACACTCACCACAACTAGATGCCACATCTTCGCTGCCTCTGCAACAGTTGTACAAACAGTACTACATCCAGCTAATAACATTAATTTATGCGGTTTATAATATAATAGATTATACATAACCGAGGCACCGAGTCCTGGCTCACACTGAAATAATAATACAAGAATTTAAAGAAATTTTTCTGCTATGATTTCTATAGTGTTTTTTTAAAATATTATTAAACATTTCATATACCTGACTATCATTTGAGTGAAGTTTCAATATGAATCCAGGTAACAAATTTTTTTTATGATTAACATCGTCTAGAGCCAGATTTACAGCTGGCATGCAAGCCTATTAAGTGGAATGCTCATTAATTTTTATATATTTTATATAAAAGAAAAGAAAAAATATATTGTCATTTTTACTTAAAATTTTAATTAAAATTATCTCATCTAGTATGTAGAAATATAAGTGAAAACTGAAGTTATTATCAATTTTCTTGAAACAAAAAGTCTCTCTGTAAAAAAAAAATTAAATCTAATTCAAAATGTCTAAAAATCAGATAAAGATCTAAAGATCAGATTTTCTAATTTTATTTAAAAGTTAAAGGATGCATAGAGCTTAAGACAATATTAATAATATATAAAAAATAAAAAAATGCGAGATAAAAAATTTTAAATAAGGAATATAATATTTATATAATATAATATTTATTATTCACCTGGCCACCCTGCCATCCGCCCTTGCCTCCTATCGGAAAAATGCCACCGATATGCAACACATTGTCGGCATCGTCGGGAGGTAACGAACCTCCGATCACTTTCGTCAATGTTAAAAGTATTAGAAGCTTTATCATCGCGACGTTCGTCAAATTTTGTCATTTATTCGTGTAAACAACTTTAAACTTTCTATACTTTTCCTTTTTTTACGACACACTCCAAGACCACAACGCTGAGTATCGCACTTTCTTTATGTAAATCACAGCCATCGTCGTTGATCGCTGATCGTTTACGAATGAATATCACTAATTTATAGAATGATGATTTTACCCTCGTACGAGATTTCACAAGCCGAGAACGGCGCACTTCGAGGGGATAACCTGATATTCTCGGTTTCCCTTTCGAAACGCGACGTACGCGGCATTAAAACAGTGTCCTTACGTTCTCCATCGTATTTACCCGGCTTCAACGCTCCTCCCTGCGTGATACCCCGTGAAATTTCGCGTGCGAATGAATTTACCGAAGACGGAGAGTTCGCGTGAGCTTTCTATTGATTTCATCCCGGTTTTCAAGGATCGTAGTGGGGATAGGGAGGCTTTCTGTTCTAGGTTTCTTCTAGAAAATCAATATATAAACGATTCGACCTTATGCTTCACTTGTGAGTAATAATCTCGTCAAAAATCTAATTTCGAGATTTCTCGTGTTTTTTCAAGAAAATTATCGATCACTCGTTTTCGAGATGATTGCGATTTTGAGTTGATGTATATATGTATCGACGTCCGGTCGATAAAATCGCATCAACTGATGGTAGTCATGAAACGATTTGAATAGTTTGAAAACAGACTAGATAAAAGAGTAAATCAATCAGTTTATGAATTTTCGAGAATTAAACTTGACTGCTATACCGACTTTGATACTGATTTCAGCGACCTCTATTCATGAACATCACACTGCCATATTTAAAAATCTCTATTTAGCTGGTGGCTTGAATTTTCGTAACGTATTAAATACGTTTTTATACAATAAAATTTAATTTTTAGTGTTAAATAATGGCTGCACAACGAGCATTACCACAAAGTAAAGAAGCTTTATTAAAATCTTACACTACAAGATTAAAGGAAGATGTAAAATCTATGCTTGAAAATTTTGAAGGTAGTCTTTCTAACCTCCATTTTTTGTATAATATGCAGTAATAAAGTTTATATAAATAAAAAGTAATTTTACATTAGAAAATATAATAATGTCTTTCTTAATTCATTATCTTTTTTTAAATTAAAATTATTTACATTTTTTTTTATTGAATATATTTATGATTTTTCAAACCTAACCTATAACTTAACGATAATTATTTAGATTTGTAAGAATTTTAAATTATTTTTATTATTTTACAGAAATTATAAAGTTAGCCAAAGGAGAAAGCGACTCCCAATTATCTCGTATGACACAATGCGAACAGGATACTTATGAAATGCATGTTAGAGCAGCGAATATTGTTCGTGCTGGAGAATCTTTAATGAAACTTGTATCTGATATAAAACAGTATTTGATACTCAACGATTTTCCATCGGTAAATGAAGCTATAGCGCAAAATAGTAAATTATTTAGGACAAAACAAGCTGAGTGTGATCAAAAATTAGCATCTTTAAGAGACGATATGGCTGCGGATTTATACGATTTGGAAGAAGAATATTATACATCAATATATAAATAACACAGATTTTAGATATTTAAGGATGTGCAATTGTGTTCTTGGACCATGAATTGACTGAAATATTATTTATTTGTTCAATAAACTGTATATATTTATTTAAATAAATAAGAATAGTTTTGATAGTACATTCCTATTTTTCATTTGGGAGTCTGATAAGACACGCCAAAAAGATAGGCATGACGATATAATAATTCGGGCATACTTATTTCATTTTATTACTTGAATACTTTAATAACACACAGACGATACATCACACAATACTTCTAACTTGTAAGTATACTCAATAAGGTAATTGTGTCTTCAAGCTTCGGATAATAATGACAATAATAATAATAATGAGAATAATCATAAGAATAATAATAATAAGAAGGATAATCTTAATATACTATTTCCTTTTAATCCTTTACTTGAATGACGATGCCTTTCCATACTGTACAGCGATAATTTACAGAAATAATACGGAGTTCCCTCAATCGGAGTAGCGAGATTACATCGATTCACAATCGTGCGATCAGATTGAAAGCAAAAATGCATGATTTTAGAATTTGGAATGTTTCAATCATCGTAATCTCGTTCACTCCGTTATGTAGTATTATGAAAATACAAACTGATCGGTCGACACGGTACTGGTTTCTTAAAATATTTGGAAGCAATTATACATATCATTATTATGAAAAAATAATAAAAATATCACAGTGTAAAATGTAACGCTGTGACACAGACCCATCAAGCATCGATCAAATGACAATGTAAAATTAAATGAAAAAATGATTGCGTCTCGAAATACGCAATCGGAATAACAATATTTATTAAATACTGACGGAAATTAGAACACAATTGTTATTTCAATGTATAGATGTATGTTTATCGTTAATTATTATCATCATATCGCACGTTTATTCTTGAATCAGTCCGCGATCACGCGATTAAATTCTAATTGAAAGTTAACCATACTGTCGCAATCATACTTCAAACACTTACGCGAATCAACATAATATTTTTAATTTTTCGACGTTTGTATTACCACTTCAAATATTATGGACAACGAAAAAGAAACAAAAATACACATAATAAATCAATCTCAAAGTAATTTAAATTATATAGCATAAATTAAACGAAACTTTGAGATTGATAATAATTTAGTATATACAAAATTTGATTTGCTTAAAATTAACATTCGTTATTAACAAATTAATTTTTTCTCGTAATTTTTATATCTATTACATATTGATTTTTTTTGTTTGGTCCTCGTCCAAATGTATAAGAAACAAAAAACGAAATAAACTCAACAAAATTATACCGCATACGTATCTAATATCTTATCTTGAGCATCTATAAAAGATATTGGTATGATTTAACATATATTTATATAAATAATGAATTTTTCGGAATTTACAATTGCAAGATTATTCCTGGACCAAAACGTCGACTTATTGTATATATATATATATAATATTAAATATATTAAGTAGACTTATACTCTACTTTGGCTAAATCTTTTACAAAACTTTAAATTCGAAATTTTTAATGTTTTTTTCTTGATCGATTTTTTTTTACATTCAATCAATAATTTTTTTCCTTTTTTTTTTTTTAAAATCTTGCATAAAACTCTGACTTTTGATTGACAGCTTGAACGTTAAACGGCTTAGCGTTAAAGTAATCTCAAAAAGGGTACAAAATTTTCAGTTCCATCGTCGACTTCTCTTCGTTTGTTATAAAAAAGTATACCAAAAAGATGATATGCTCGTTTTTTTCTTTCTTTCTTTTCTGTTTTCACCGATCACTGGGCTCTCCGTTTAAAGTGCTATCAAAAAAGAAAAAAAAAGCACTGATGCGTCTTGGCAGTTTCAGTTACACAGTTACTTAGGAAAAGTCTGTTCACTTCGTTAATAATCGTAATAATACAAAGTAAATGCATATACTTGGAATGATGCTGAATTGTTTTTCCAGCTTAACTATCTAAGAAAGGATTGCTTCTCTTTCGACGCGTTCACGAATGGATTCTTATATTTTCCTTTTTTGCCCCCCTTTTTTTTTTTGATTCATCCTTTATATTGAAAAAGTATTGCGCATAGTTCTTATGATACCGAACTATCCTATGTAAATATAATTTATCTCGATCGTGAACACGTCGCGTGATGCATTTCTTGAAAAGTTACAGTTTCTCTTATAATGGTAAGGTGAGCAATCGTCACGTTGACGTTCGTTCGAGAGCGCTTGAAAAAACCTCGAACATTATTTTTTTTTTCTTTTCCTATAATAATCATTCGCTTCTCTATAAAAGACTCTTCCTTTCGTCCCTACGAAAAAAAGGAAAGAAAAATTCTTTTTTTTCTTTTTTTTTTTTTGCAATTAGTCTTCTGAGTAATTAGTCGGAATTTTTAGATTCCTCGCTCTAATTCGAGAGCTTTGAGCTTTTAGCAATATATTTCTCGCTTCACGCGTATTTTCCTCGGCTTTTTTCAGTCGCGTCAATAGAGCAGATCACCGGTTGTTTCAGAACCCCATGCACCCGCGTCTTGAGCTGGTTTCAGGTAATCCACTTCGGTTTCGTTCTCTGATTGAGATGTTGTCGTGGTTACCGGGCACGATGATGTCGAAGTTGCCACCAAGTTCGAAGACATCGCTCTGGTTACACCCAATTCGAATCCTTCTGACGTCAAATCGACTTTGCTAGGAGTGTAATTGGCTAGGCCACCACTACCACCTGCAGGAAACAAATACTAGCTTTCAATATGCTACGCATCGTTATAAATTAGAGAGAAACATGTGCGACATATACAGTAAAGGATGAAAAATATATATATTTTTTTTTTCTTTCAAAATCATGGTAATGAAATATGAAATCGATGAAAGTAATGAAAAATTTATGTTTGAAAAGAAAATTCGAATATGAATGTACAATAGAAATTTTATCCTAATGTTTCGCCAACATTGAACTTGCATAAGCTGAAGATTTTTCTAATTAGCTGCAATATTAGCAAAATGTTGAGATAAAATTCTTGTTAGATCCATACTTGGAAATTCTAAACAACAATGCTTAGAAAAGCCTTACACTTTTAACTTATATCTTAGTGCTTTTAGAAACTATATATAGAACTAGTTTATTAAAAATTTTTCATAGGACTTTTTCAGATTAAACATTTAAGAGGAATTCAAATTTTCCACGGCTGTTTGTAGAATATTCAATATTCATGGTGTAACAATGGTATCATTTCTGTAAAAAAAAAAAAAAAAAAAAAAAAAAACACGAAAATAACATAACTTTAGTTATAGATTTGGATAAAATATAATTATAAATTTCGAATCTGAATAAAAAAATAAAAAGTAAAAGGAAGGGAAATAAAAATATGTAGAGGTTCGTTTTAACGGAAAAGAATGATTAAAATTACCGAGTAGGGTTGACATGCTGGTAGCCGAATTGGTCGAGGACGTTTTATTACTGATCGGAGTTGATTGCTCGACGGAACCGGAAGTTTCACCATCCACATTACTCTCACCCTCCAGCATCGATGCCTCGCTTGGATATTCGAAGGTACGGGTAGCCGTGTCATCAAATTGTATTCGATGCTGAAACAATTGGGATATCGATCAATTCAATAGCATTGAACAGATAAATTTAAATAGACTAACGGAAATGAACTATACATTAAATTAATACGTATAAAATAAGTTAATGAAATTAACAAATATTTTAATTTATTATTCTTTATTTATTTATTATCTATTTAATTCTACGAAAATTAACAAATGCTAATGTTGATTAAAGTTGATTAAGAATTTTTATATCATAAATAATAAATAAAAATATTTTATACCTCATTCAAATTCTCTAGTCGCTTATAATTATACTATTTATAATTTAGAATTTAATTGTTACTTGTTACTTGTTACATCTACATATACATACAATTTTTTTATACTGCATTATAATTAAATCTTTATTCTATTAATCTCATTATACTTTCTAGAAGGAAAATAAATTACATTGACTTGGAAAAAATTTTTGTAAATATTTTCCATAATTTATACATATCTAAATTACTACAATGATTTATATAGCTAAGTAAAAATTTAATTATTTATCCTAAAAATATATTAATTTAATTACACGTTTCATATTCCATGTTTAACTTTTAAAAGTTAGATTTTCTACAATAATTGGCCTGTTTCCTCTTAATATTTAGTGGAATAAGGAGTTCTGGCAACGGTCAAAGTACATTAGTGGCACGCGACTATTGTAAACCGGCCGGTTACACCTCGAAAAGAGATACACTGTGTTTCGTATATACAGTGTGTACAGCCAGTTACAAATAAGACACGGAAAGAACAAACAACGGCATGCAGCTTGAAATAACAGTAACTCGTCACACTCAATGCTTTTTCGACTGCGAGCGAGGACATCGCCTTTTCCTCATTTGCTTTTTTTTTGTCGACGAACGTGATCAAAAGAGAAAGCAATTCTTTTTCTAGAGAGTTGTCCGAGAGTTCCTTGCATTTGTGATATTTCGGGCCACGAGGACCGCTAATTTCTTCTTCGAATAATTTCTCGACGAAAAATTTTTATAGTTCTCGTTCAAATCAATCAAGTTATTCAAGAGAAATCATATATCATATAATTTGAAACTAATTTTTGTTAACTTATTTATTCGATACGAAATATTCTTTCAACTTTAAATTTAAAAAATTTAATAAAATTTTGCCAATGAATCGAAAATTAAAAATCTTTCAATTTTACCTGTAACGAAACGTTTTATATTTTTATTGTTTGTGAATTCATATTATACAAATTTCAAGAAATATGTGCTAAAAGTAATAATAAAGAAATAGAAAAGTAATAATAAAATGAAATAGAAATAGAGCAATGAAAAATTTCAAAATTTTTAGAGACTTATGAGAAATTTTGTATTTCGTAGAATATACTGAAATGTATATCGTTAATCAAAATATGAGAGATGAAAGTACATGATTTAATAACTTATTAAAAATTTCTCTCATTGTTATAGACATTCCAACAAACATCTTCGATTGCTATTTTAGATATCTATTGATATCGAATTAAATTATTTGAATTTAAACAAGTTTCAAAAGTTTACTTAAAACTTTTAGTAATATTTAAATTTTTTTTATACTTTCTGATTTTATATTATTTTATTTAAAAAATCTTTGATAACTCATTTTGCCCACAATATAAATTATGCTGTTAACGAAATAATATCACGATTAAACTACAAGAGCAAATAAATCTTTAGTCTGTCAGAAGGCCAAACTGGTAACAGTACCTGTGATTATTTCGAGCAGAGGTTAACTATTCACTGGTTAATTATGTGTTATAAATTTAAAGTTTCCAAAACCATGAAATTGTTTCGTATAAACGAAAAGATAATGTCATATAAAATATATAAAATAATATATAATAATTTTGTTGTTTAACTAAAGAAACCTTGAACTCATATAGATTTTGAAGTTCTATAAAAAGAAATAATTTCCATACGATTATTTCATCGTATTAATTAGATTTGATGATAGATAAATATATATTAGAGTATTAAATAGTCATCATTTTTAATAAATCGTTAAAATCTGAATAAGCAAGTTTTTTGAAGTATTACACAAATTATTACTATAAATTTTTGCAATTTTTTTCAATAATTTAGCATTTTCAACATTACCAATTTCAAAATTATCCACATTGTATTTTATTTTCAAACTATTCATTCATTCAAAATATTATTGTAAAATTAAAATAATCAATGCATCTTCTTTAAAGATTTTGAGTTGCTCTTTTATTTACCAATATTTTATTTAAAATAAAAAATTTAAAATAAAATATTTAAAATAAAAATAAATCTAATATAATCAAATTCTATTGTAATCAATCAACATCTATCTCTCAATCAACGCCTTAACAGAATAATAACAGATGTCTGCCACGTGCATTATGCAAAATGTAAATATACTTCTTTAGTCCACAAATCAAATTGTACATTTGATCGATTCATTCGTAAGCTTGACAACTAAATTTTTAATCGACTCCTTGATGAATCGTTTGAAAGAAATGCCGATCTCGAGCCGATCAAGGTCAGCGACATCCGGAACGTTCTAGTTAATTAATGGTGCCAGTTAATTACGAACCATTGCCATTGCCATCTTGGGTCATTGGCAATATTCAGAAGAATGTATTGTATAATCACCTGTTTCCAGCCAGTAAAACAATCTATCTTCTATATAAAAAATCCTTTTAATATTCGTTCGAAAGAAAATACCCTTAGAAAGTCTAAGTCTAAGGTTCCCAATTTTTTTCGCAATAATGTTTCTTCCCGTTCCTGAAATAATAGATAAAATGAAATATTTTGTTTTGAATATTTGAATATTTATTAATTATAATCTGTGCACGTACAGAATAAAAATAGACTTTTTTTGGCGCGAAAATGGCACTGTAGGAATGCTATTTTAATTTTAATAACTTAATTTTTTCATAAATGCATAAATATTTTTATAACAAAGACATTTAGTTTCTGTAATATGTTTTATTTTTAATTAATTATTTAAACAGAGAAATATGTTGATAGATCGAATATGGATATTATTAAATAGTAATAAATCTAAATAATTTAATAAAAGAGAAATAAATATTTCGTTAATTGAAAAAAAATTAGAATATTGAGATATATTTGTATAAAAGGAACATAGAGGTAAATTAATTTTTCATATTTTCAAATATAAATTAAAAATTTTTGAAGGCCATATAGGAAGAACAATTAAGAGTTGTTAAACGATTTCGCAAAAGTGTCAAGTAATAGAAATAAGTAAAAAGTATGAGGTACAAAACTTAAACTTCTAATATTTCAAACATTTGATATTCTCTTCATACAATTTTTAATAACACGATGCAATATGCAAATTATGTGGCAATATATGGATGAATGTACGTGATTTTTATTTAAAAATAATAAAAAGATTACTAAAGAATTATTTTTTATTTTTTAAAAATATAAAACACTCCTTCTTCTATTTATTTTTTCAAATTAAATCATGCACCTTTATTACTTTAGCATCCACAATCATCTGACAATTAATTTCTATAAATTCAATTGGAAAAAATATGAATCAAAAGGATCAGTCAGATTTGATTTAATTTTATCACAATTTATCTCGTTCAGCATACTTGAAAGCCCACTTCTTTGAAAGCTGACTATTTCCAAGAATTAGCATGTATAACAATGAACGCTTTTTATTACAGTACTTGAATTCAAATAACATTCCACTAAATTAACCAAGGCTTTCAATTACTTCAATTCAAACTGCTTGAGTACAAGTAACTCGACTAATCTGAATGAGGCTTATCACATTAAGTGCATTCTCATCGTGTTCTTCCAATACAAGGGAAAGTAGGAAATACACAGTAAATACAACAAATTCGGAGTGAACAACATGGAGAAAATGCTTTCTTCTTGGCGCGAAAATGGCATTCTGTCGATAAACGGAGCGTGAGTGACTATATGTTTGCCAAAAGCAAATATCAAGATGGAAAGTAACTACGTCCCTATGAGGCTTGGCTCGCGAGAACGAGCGTGTTTCGCGTGCAACGAGTGTCAAATCGAACAGAGATGCATGGAAACCATCAAGGCTCGCGCTCATTGGTCGCCTGTATATTGATTTTCAGCAAGAAAACGGTGAACTGAACTACCCTCAAAAGAGAGTAAACCTTTTGTGTCGTGCGCGTGCTTTCTCAACCATAAAATCAACCTCGCCTTCGATGCTGGCGAATATCCGTTTAAAACTTGGTACGTACTTGTTTGGAAACGTTTACGAGCAAAAATTCACGTATGAATCATTAAGATGCTCTAAAGTTACTAAATGATCGTGAAAAAATCAAATTTTCTACTATAATAATATCGGTAAAATATGCGTAATTTTAAACACTCATCAATTTGAATAGATAGTGATGGGAAAGAATATAGCAAGATTCGAACAAGACAAGATATGAATTCTTTACGAATATCATGAAAAAAAGGAGCGATACTTTTAAGTGGAATCATACTACTAAATAAACTAATAAACATTACTTTTTAATAATAAATATTTGATTCTTCGAAATAAATTTGATTTGGATTTGATTGGATTGATTTCTTTCAGATTTGATTTCGATTTATAAGCACATAATTTGATCCTATCATTAGAGATTATCCCGAGAATCAATTCGATAAATTCCATGAACATTAACCAGCTTTTTTCCCGGTCCTTTTTAAATAGGAATCTTGATAACGACGTCGTTTCGTTCTGCTTTGCATCTTTACGATCAATAAAAAATCGTTCGTCTCGTTTCGAGAAAGTCGTTTCTCTCGAACGAGGACCGAGGACTATGAACTCTTCGAAGAAATTTACAATATCAATTATAATAATTTTTTTGAGGAAAGAAAAAAAATAATCAGTCGACAATGTCGCGGACAGGTCGTTACTTTCGACTAGAATATAGTGAAACAATGCGGTTCTTATCGTAGACGAGAAAGGAAACCGTTTATCGCGGCGGACAATAGAAAGAGGAAGCCAGACTTGTATGTATTACA